TAGAAACGCGGTCTCCCAGACAATTTGAAAATAACTAATTTTTCAAGATGAAAAAAATAGAAAAATTGGAAACACTTTTTTTACTTTTCATTTCTAAGGTTTTCAAAAAAGGGTTCATAAAAATATCAGATAACTGGCACTAGGTGCGGGCGGATTTAAAAGTGCTCAGAAACGGCTTTTTTTACCTGTTTTTTTCCTCGAACAAAAAAAAGGTCGACAAAATTTTCCAAAAGTTTTTGAAAATCCGTCCCCCCCCCCCCCCCCCCCCCCATCGAGAAAAACCTAGATCCGCACATGACTGGCATAACTTCGGGACAACCAAATTTTTCAAAGCAATATCATTTATCAAAGCCTGATTGGGGTCAAGAAAAATCAATGGGGAAATTCCGCATACAAGAAGTACCGAATATCCAAACACTGGTAGCCAATCAAAATTCAGTTTTCAAAAATCTGAAAAAATATGCCGGAAAGAAAATTAATAAGTTTTTGACTGTTTAGAGGATCCTCATTGTTCAAAAATTTTCGGACCCTCATTGTTCAAAATGAAAAAAAAAATCCCCTCTTCTTGCTCACCCTCCAATGGCAACCCGCTTGAAGTTGCCGACTTCCACCATGTCTTCTCTGTTATGATCACGTGACGACCATTCTTGCAGCGAGGCTACTTCCTATATTAAACGACTATTAGTTATTATCAATTATAGAAAATTATAACTACTGATAATATTGTAGTCACTTTAATCGAATCGAAATCAAGTAAGAAATGGCTAAATATTAAGTCGTTTATGTAAAAATCAATTAACATATGGATCATTTTGATTCAAGTTAAAGTTATGTTTATATTTTTCATCAAATTCTAGCTGTTTACAACTAAATTTTTTTAACCTTTTTAAAGAGCTTTAAAATGACTAAAGTTGTACAATTCTGATGCGAGTTGCAATTTTTCTCCACGACCAAACTTTTCTGGAGAAAAAATTGTCTACTTTATAGAAAAAGCGAGATATTGTCGCATGCCAATTTGCTTAGGTTCAAAAGCTTCATGCCATCACGAGCGGGGGTTGTCGACTTTTGTTAAGAAAACTTTGTCGGCCTTTTTTACCACCAAATTGATTTTCTGAGCTCTCACAATTCAATATAAAGACCCTATTTTATAATTTTTTTAAAATGATTTCTGATTTTCTGCACTTAAGTCTTTTATGGTTGAAACATTGAGATATTTGTACAACTGACTGTCATTGCTTCAAACATTGATTCTATAAAAATTCTAATTATTCAACCTAGCTGCTTTACGCACCAATTTTCTCTTGAAGAGATGTCGTCTTTCATTTGAAGACTGCAACAATGCAGGTAAAACGGCTGTCAAGAAAACCAGCCGCAAGCTCTTCTGTAGAAAATACATTTCAATCAATTTTTCATAGCTGCTTTAGTTTCAATGCTTTTAAATATACAAAAATGATAAAATTGCTAACTTGGTACCCATTCTGGGAAATTAGGCAAGTAAAGACATAACCTCTTTTCACAAATGACTACAATAAAAACCCTCAATAGGAAATAAATGAGATGATACATAATGCGAACATGTGATATCCATAATGTCAAACTTGATGCTTGAAATAAAAAATATAAACCAATATGAGGCAAGAAAAATTAATAACATATAAAACCTAACAAATATGCAAATAAAAAACAGAGAAGATCTGATCACGGATTTTAAGAGCCATGTGATCAAACTTTTATCCGTAATTTTGAATAATCACTGGCTTACGATAACTGCTTTAATTAGAGTTTTAGTCAGACATAACACAAATTTAAACTAAATTTTCAACAAGACTGCTCACATCAGGGCAAAGCCCTGAATGTTCCGACTACTTTTGAAGGTTTATGGAGCAGCAGTAATAACATAAAAACATTATATGAAATAAAATAAAATGAAAATTTTTTTTCTAAAATTTGAAACTTTTTATGAAAATCATCCCCCCACACGCCATATAAAGTACAAAATGAGATATTTCGCTCCTTGTAACAAACCAATTATGGCAAATAAGCTTCTTTTAACCAATTTGGAACAATTTCTAAGACGGATTAACTCTCCGCTTACGCGTTAATAGCGCGAAATATATCGCGCGTTAATTGTCCCAAATTGGCCAAAATGGCAATCTTTAAACCCCCGTAACTTTACGAAACAAGATCACAGGTGAAATATTTTTTCAAATTTGAGCTCAGGACAACAATACCCTTTGAATGATATAAAAAAAATTCCGTCAAAAATGGCTAGTTAAAAAGTCGAAATTTGTCTGAAGAAAAAAAAACCCCACCCCGAGCACAAATATTCCGTTACTTTCGTATCGAAAGTCGGAACAACAAGACTGCTCGTATCAGGGCGAAGCCCTGAAGTTCCAACTGTCTTTTAAGGTTTTATGGAGCAGTAATAACATTAAAAAATTAAATGTTAGAAAAATAAAATGAAATTTTTTTTCTAAAATTTGAAGTGTTTTATGAAAATCATCCCCCCCACACGCCATATAAAGTACAAAAAGATAGATTTCGTTCCTTGTAACAAATCAATTATGGCAAATAAGCTTCGTTCAACCAATTTGGAACGATTTATAAGACGGATTAAATCTCCGCTTTCGCGTTAATAGCGCGAAATATATTGCGCGTTAATTGTCCCAAATTGGCGAAAATGGCAATCTTTAAACCCTCATAGCTTTACGAAAAATGATCACAGGTGAAATATCTTTTCAAATTTAAGCTCAGGACAACAATACCTTTTGAATGATGTAAAAAAGTTCCGTCAAAAATGGCTAGTTAAAAAGTCGAAATTTGTCTGAAGAAAAAAAACCCACCCCGAGCACAAATATTCCGTTACTTTTGTATCGAAAGTCGGAACAATTACCCTTACACAACAAAAGCAGAAACTATTTATTTCTCATCTATCATTAGACATACACAACTTCTGGAAAAAAAATCCCAAAATCAGTTCACTGTGTAACCGCAACGCGATAAACGCTGATTCTGCATGCTTTGAGTATACACAATAATCGTAGCAGACAATTGCAAATTAACACAAATGTAGTTTTGAACTAGGTTCATATAACTATCAAGGCTTGCCAGTTCATGTGGCCAAGCGGTTAACATATTCGTCTAGCAGACGGCAGATCGGGGATTCAAACACCAACAGATGTTTCAGAGAGAAATAGCCTAGATTTAGGTAATTTTTTCCCAGAAATTAGATGAGAAATAAAGAATTTTGAGAAAACGCTTGCTATATTTAAAAATTTCAAAAAGAATTTCTGCGTACATATTTTGATTACAAACTAAGTATTTTTCACCAGAAACAAAAACAAATTGTTTGTTACGGGTAGCTTTTGAATTATCTTAATTTGCCAACAGCAGTTTTGAGTGAATTATTTTGGAATAGCGATTTTATCAACAGAATTTGTTCTAGTTGTGCTATTCGACACACAGACTGAGCTCCCATTGATGGTTTTGAATTTATCAATAGTTCTCATCAACGGCAATTAAGCAAAAGCATTGTAGAGAATAGCTTTTTTGGTTATATCACATCTGTTTACTAAGTACATGTATCATAGACTAACTTCTGTTTACTTGTACCAATGCCCATACACCATCTATTATTGTTGACCCGATAGGATCATGCGACTGCTTTGCCCAATGTGAGGCCAACTGTATATTTTGTGTATTGTAAGAGGATTCCGCAACAAGGACTCTCTCTTTAATCTCCTTTTGTTTTTCCGTTTTCTTTGATCGATGCGACATATTTAGTTGTGATAGGTAGCAGATTTTTACAAATTTGAATCTTTGCTGAACTTTTTAATGTCGGCCTAATATATTTCCGTCACAGAATAATTTGTGACTCTTTATCGCTTTTAGTTTTAAAGTTTGATTTCAAAGTTTAAAATTGCATCCATAAAATTGTACGTGGTTAAATCAAATATTCTAAGCATATTTGTTTTGCACCAACAAAATATCCACATTACGGAAGAAACTGATAATTAAAAAAAATCTTTCAAAACTTGTGTACATTTGCTACTGAAAGCACCCAGAAACAGTTTTGTTTTTTTTTCCGTCCAAAATGGATGTCGTTACGCAATATCAAAAGAGGGCCCTTTGGATTTTTTGATTGATAAGATTCTCAAAACACGGAAGAGACTGATGGTTTTCTGACCTCAATTAAATCCACTACTGATTCCTTTAATTTTCTCAATAATTATTTGTGTTTCAGGGATCGCTAATCAGCCTAGTGTCAAGAATATGATACTTGACAATTGATGCTTGTCTTTGTTCAGAAAATTGAAAATCCGGAGGAACTTTGAGTTTTAGTTTTTAGTTTTTTCTTTTGTTTTGTTTTCCATGCAAAATTATAAAACAATAAAAAATCATTACAAGGAGTTGAGTTGTATCTCAAATTCAACTCATTTCAGTCGTGATCAAAAAAACATCAGAGTTTTGAGAAAAACTAGTTTGAAATTTTTGAGATTTAGTGCAATTTCGAGCAAGTAACGCGATCGAGTTACGCTCGTCTTTTGAAAACTTACTGTTTATTTTAGACTTTTAGGAAAAAAACTTGATGAAGAATTTTTTCTGGATGTTTCATATAGCGCTTGTTTGTCAAAAAAGGTTTCGAACAAAAATTAAAAAATTTAAACTTTTTGCACAATATTTTGAATTTTTCTTTTTCAATTTTTTGTTTTTTATTCATTTTATGGCGAGAAATATTGTTGCTCATGCCTAATTTACTAGTTTTTTTGTAGAGTTCTCAAATCACATTGCGCACTAAAATAGACACTTTCTACACGAAATGTAAGAAAAAACTTTTACATCTATATTTTATGAAAATGGTGCGAACCTTCTGAGCCACTTGCACATCAACCGCCTGTCCTTGTTTTGTTATATTTTTTAGTCACAAAAACATTGACGTTGGATTTTATTTATAACCGACAATTGATGCCATTCATATAGATTAATTTTAGTCTGAAAAAATTTTATAATCATTCGCTTGCTAATCCACGTGCGTGCGTTTCTTGTGCACACACAAATTTTAATGTTCTGCTTCAATTTTTTCTCATATACACAATCTCAATATACAAATTCACTTCAATATTTTAAAACCATTTGATAGTTTAAAGCATATTGTTATTAATTATTGAGAGAATACTTAAGTTCCTGTCTTTTTATACAACTTTGTACAAAAAATTGTAAAACTTTAATAATTTTAATCAAGTTGAAAAGATTAGATTGTATGGTTAGATGGAGAAAAGTGCGTTTATCACAGAATCTCATTCTACTTTTGAGTCGAACTACAGAGATACTAGAGGTCACTATACAGCAGCCAATTCAACCCCCCAAGGCGGACTAGAGAACGGGAGAGGGAGAGAGGGAGAAGATGGTGGTGGATGCGGGGGTTCAGGTGGTCAACGTGGTCTGGTCAAGTGTGAGTTCCGGGGCTTCGACGAGTGGGTCGCCCTCTCACGCCCTTACCCGACGCCTTTTGCAGTTATCAGGCAAGCACTTTTCTAGGCTTCTTTCATATTCCCAAATAAACCCTTGTTGAGTTAAAAATTAAAGTTTTTTAAAATTGAGCAATATTTGCATACAAAAATTATTCAAATCTGTTCTTTTCACGTTATGTTTTAATGAGATCTATAACGCCAAAAGTCCTTTCAAACAGCGTTTTTGAACAAAATTGAAAAAAAGGAAGTGTAAAAAATGAAAAATCGTATGATTGTTTTTTGTCCGTAGACAAATGATATTAAAAACTATTTTATTTGAAGCTTGTTAACCCACCACTCCCTTTTTATGGCAGCCGTAATTTTTTTCATGTTTCATTATTATATAATCTATAACACCAAAACTCATTTAAAACAGAGTTTTAATCAGAACTGAAAAAATTGACAATTTTTAGGAAGACTACCTAAAAACTTATTAGGAAAGGACCGCAATCACTTTACCAAATATGCTGGCGGATGAATTGTTTTCAATTTTAATTCAAAATTTAAATAAAAAGCGCAAAAAAATTAAAAAGTTTAATTTCAAGCTATGCGCGCTACAAAATGTATCAACCTATGTAGTTTCACATTCGAAGAGCACCAGCTTGAGCTGACAATGAAGGCTATCCAGTCTTTTTAAAATGCCAAAACCGGACTTTCAAATTCTTGATTCATCATGACTTTTTCTAATATAAACCGCCGTTCAATTTAACAACCGATCAAAAAACAAAATGTCTATCAAAAAACATTTGTGAAAAAACTCTGAATCAACTAAATCAATTATCTCTTAAGTTGTGCAAAAATCCACTCAAATCTGATGAATTCAAATTGATAAGTTTTGAAAGAGTTTCCGCGTCAAATTTGGCCGGAACATTGAATAGTTTACGCATACATACCAAGAATCGATTTTTCAATTCTATTCTCAATTTTTGCTGTGTCTTGAGACTTATGAGTTTTATATATTTTTTCCATACGAATCAACGAAGTTGTTAATTGAGTCACTGCAATGTTCAGATCCTATAATGTTACTCAGATGTTGTAGAACCTCATTTACATATAGCTTAAACAAAAATCGAGTTTTCTTAGTTCTATAGTTTTAGTTTTATAGTTCTTCCTTTTTTTCCACCTAAAATTTATTCGCAAGAAAAAGTTCTACTGACTTTGTAAAACCTTCAGGACATTTCAGGACTATTTGCAGTGACAGAAAATAAAATAGCATTCTGGTGATTGGGATCGAAATATTGTTTTTAAATTTGTAGTAACAAATTTTGATCAGGAAAAATTCTTTTATTGTATAACATTGAGATAACATTTTTTTTAAATTAGGTCAGTATGTTTCGAAATATCAGGTTTCTGGTCAATGATTACACGTGAGTTGTTAACATTTTAGGTTTCTCGAGAAAATGAATGTTCCATTTAGTTTTTTGGATTTTTCGCCGCTTGTAGCCATAAATTGAGCTTTTCTTATATTCATTGTCATTTCCTTCGCTGCCGTTTTAATAGTATTCATTGTCATTTTGATGGTTTTGTAAGATGATTCAACTGGAATTGTTAGTGAGTAATAATTGTTTGATAACAACTTGTTTTTGAGATCAACAGAATAAACATCCACTCTGGATCAAATTTCATTGTCTTTGTTCAAAAGAACAGCTAAAACTCGAAATAAATTGGGAACAAGCTCAAACTTCCTAAAAAACTATGAGCTTTGGCAAATTAGTTCAAGGTTAGCCGGTTGATGGGTAAGTCGCCCCATGTTATTCAAAGCGCACTGATTGAAGAAACAAAAATCAAAAGTTAGAAAAAAAATTTTTTCTAAGTTTTTGGTTCATATTTTAACCAATAATTATTGGACAAAAATTATGACTTAACAAAGCAATATGAATTTTTGTATGTTTTTTTTTCTAAACTGAATAATGTTAAATTAATTACAAATGAAAGGCAGTTGATAGCTAAAATAACGTTAAAACTGAAGTAGATTTAAATTTCGAGACCAGGCTAACGTCAAATTTATGTCCTACTTAATTAAATTTTTTTTAACTTAACTTTGCCTGAAAAACAAAAAAAATCAGACACTGCCACAGTTATTTCATAAAATCCACAACTAGGAAACCTTAATTCAGTCAATAGTTTCCCAACAATTCTCGCCTTAAGAATGCATGTTATACCTACGTTTGTTTTTATAAACATGCAGGGCATTTTTTGACAAGGCAATTTTCCTATTGGAAAAATAAGGTCAGCCGTTTGTAAAAAGTTTTACGATGGCCCAGCCAGTTTGAAAGACCTTTGAAAAATTTAGGGGCAGAATTTACCAGAATTGAAGGGATCGTGCCCTCCCCCTGGCGCACTGCCTCTTGTCCCCCCTGTCACGTGTCTGTAAGTGTGTCTGTGTTTCTAGCGAAAGGGGTCAGTCGCAGCTGGCGATCCCTGAGCTGCCGGAGGACGAGATGTTCAGCTTCGGTGCACTGTATGAGTCATCGGTTGCCAGCCTCATCCTGTCACACTCCGACCTCATCATGTCCGACAGGTAAGATGGGTTGCTGGGTGGGGGGGGAGGGGGATGGCTACGAGCTTGTTTATACTACTGAGCATCTAAGCAATGTTTTTAGAATTGGTTATTTTTTACTCTGATTGTGATATTTAGAATTTTCCTAAGTTCGGTTTATCAGCCAATTGAGAATTCACATTGTGAAGTAAAGATAATTTAACAGATGGCACAATCAATTTCATTTGCAAAAATGAGCACCAATTGTTCAAACTTAGTCGCAATTGACTTTTCTTTCCTTCCCCATCCGCTGGGACAATTTTTATTCTTAGCTTCGCTTATGTTGTTAAAACGACATCTTCTTGTTTCATACAAATACAACCTCTAAAACCAGGGGCGGATCTAGAACTTTCTCGAGGGGGGGGGGGATTTTCCCAGAACACTTTAAAATCTTATTTTGAACAAAAAAACTTGCGCCGCAGTCAAGTTTTTGAAAATTATTGTATATATTGTGTTCCCAATATATATTGTATTAATTAGTATATATTGGTCCCCTTAAAAATTTTTAGGGTTGGTCAGCCGAAAATGAATGTGATAAAGTAATATCAGAGGCTGACCCTTTGGTTGGTAAGGGGTCGAACCCCTGAAGGGAAAGGACGAATTTTTGCTTTACTTGTTTGTGTTATGTAATAGATGTGCCTACATTGGGTCGCAAAGAGGCGCACTGGCACCCATGATCCAACATGACCTGGACTTGATCGACCCCATAGCCTGCTACGCGCCACTCAAAACACACGTCAAGGTACACACACACATACATATATATACACACACATTCACACACACACACACACACACACACACACACACACACACACACACACACACACACACACACACACACACACACACACACACACACATACACACACACATTCTCTCTCTCTCTCTCTCTCTCTCTCTCCAACTTCATATTGCATATGCATAAACTCTCATATCGCGGATTTGCAGCAAAACGGGTCGCCCATCATAGAAGGTAATACGCAACCACATGCGAAGCATAAATGATATCGATGGAAATTAACCAACCCTGTTTGACGAAGAAACTTTTGAAAAGCACTTTTGAAAGAGTTTTTTAGACAGCTTCACCGCGCGTGCCATAAAAAATGTTCAGAAAAAAATTGTTCTTTTTTCACTTTTCACAAATGCTGATCACGAAAAGCATTTTTTGCGTGCGCTCTGTTTAAAGTCTAAGCAGAAAAGCGTACGCTAAAAATGCAATGTGATCAGCATATGGTTTCCCCAGACATATCTAATAATAATAATTGTAGTTCCTGCGAATCGCAGAGGAGCTATCAGTAGGCCTAAACAGTCCTGTCGAGGATAATCCATTTGTATTATCTCCCCACATTCCAGACAGTGTTATTTTGCTGAGCGAAGCTGTTTTTTGCGACTCAAGGCCGTTTTTTTTGCGTCTAGAACTTTTACGTGGTGCAGTCAAATTTGGTCAGGTTGTGGTAGACCTGAAGCTGGAGGTCAAGTGAGAGCTTGTCCTCACACACTATCATTGCCATGGCATGGGATCGAATACACGATCTGACGATTTCAAAGTGAACGCCTTACCACTGTGCTAAGTGCCTCTCAAAGTTGAGGGTTCATCAGTCAAAAACTGAGCTCAGAAAAAAGTACCCAGAAAGGGGAGGGTATTGTTGGACAACGGAGGGGTCAAATCGGGGTTATTGGAAAATGCTCGCCCGATTTCCGATTACGGAGGATTTCACCAGTTTGGCGGGTCTACAAAATTAACTTTTCCAGTTGATTTTTCACGCCCTTCCGACTCCCTAGTTAAATTATAACTTAATAAAACCTATTCAATTTGCAATTTGGATTTACGGAATTGTTTAAATATGTTCATTTGTTCTCAGAAAATATGTCAGCTCGATATTGTCTTCATTGTTTTTCCAGGAGAGTGCCATATTCCAAAAGCAGTGCAAACCGTACACGTACGATGTAGCCGAAGAATACTTCGAAAACAACGCCAAATTGCCTTCGGCCGATCGCACTTTCTACGACAAGATCATCGTGATGGACTGTGTGCTGCACGTGGCAGACATGCGCCGATTTCTCAAGTCGCTCAAATTTAGTCTCGCCAAAGATGGTAAATGACAAAACACGGGTATTTCTGGATATAACCCCCTGAATGATAAAAAAAACTCATTGAAATACTGCCATTACAAGATTGGGTCGTTTTTATTTCAAACGCAGAGCTGATATCCCGAGCGTCGAATCAACTTTGAATTATGCAGAATTTGTTAGCTAAACGACTATTAAAAACGCATTTGGGCCCATATTTATCAAATTTATGAAGGAAAAACGGCAAAAAAAGAGAAGAGCCATTTTAAGGATTAATTGAGCAAACTTGAGCAAACTTTGTGGTCAGTCCCATAATATTATCCTGCCTCCCTCAGTAAAATCGATTCAATTTTGTTATGAAGTTTTTCGTTTTCATTTTGCAACATTAATGGGGGTTATAACCGACAAGGCCCCAAAAACTTGTCTTTTTCCATTATTCTAACCCCAGCTTAAAGAAAAAGTTAGGAATTTAATGGAAAAAACTCAAATATGGTTGCTTGGAAATTTTTAAGGTCAATGGACTTATTTATGTCTCAAAATTTGATCACGCTAAAATTATATTTTTCCAGGCTTGTTAAATTTAATTTTGTTAAATCCTTTTAATTTTGTTAAACTTAGTTTCAAATTCATTTCCAGAAGGCAAACAGTGCAAACAAACAAAGACGTGAATAATTTTGGGCTTTGCAAATTTAATTTAATTTTATTTGATTTTACAGCAAAATAAAAATATACATTCATGAAAGCTCATTTTCATAACAATTTTCGAAACTTCCGTTGAATATTTTTCCATTCTTTTTGCTTCAGTTTTTATGCATGCCAAATTAGCGGCGAAAAAAACTGAATAACAAATAATAAAGTTCTTCTCAAAATGTTTGGACAATAAAAAATTTGGATTTCGCAACCTATTGGCTGACAAGAACGGTTTCATGTGTTCACTACTCAATGACTAGAAGAAAAAACTCCGTTGATTTGACTCTCAATTAAATATGAAGTTAATTGTCAATTAAACTAGCAATAAAATCATTCAAATTGGGATAAGACTCACCGAAACAGTCGAAAAACATTGAGCAGAGTAAATGGCTGAAAACCAGTTCTCTAATTGTCAAAACAAAAAAAGGATACAAGAGGAATACAAAGGACTGTGGGTCTGATATTTTAGTGGTATCAGCTTTGCCATAATTAATTTTCGTTATAGAAGATGCATGCATGATGTGATATGCTTATTGCAAACTTCAACGTGATAACCTAATATATTAAAATTAACAATTTTTTGTGACTGTGGGCGAATTTTTTTTTTGACTATCCGAAAACAACCTTCTCTTTTGGCAATTAGTGATCATTTTTGGCTATTCGGGTTATTACCTCAGTTACTTGCTACCGATTGATCTTTCCTATGCTTATTACACTTTTTTCATGCATTGGGAATTAGAAAATTCAATTGAGTGCTTAGTGGCGAAGGCAATTGTGTGGAGACAGTAAAAAACGTTATTTGTCCCAAATTGGCCAAAATGGCAATCTTTAAACCCCCGTAACTTTACAAAAAATATTCACAGGTAAAATATCTTTTCAAATTTGAACTCAGGACAACAATACTTTTTGAATGATGAAAAAAAAATTCCGTCAAAAATTGCTAGTTAAGAAGTCAAAATTTGTCCGAAGAAAAAAAAACCACCCCGAGCACAAATATTCCGTTACTTTCGTATTGAAAGTCGAAACAATGAGGCAGGCTATTTGTTCTTATTAATTCAACCACGATTCTTAATATTCAGTTGAAATTCATAGTTTGTCAATATTTAATTAAGCAAAAATTATCTGAGAACATTTTATGGACAGGCCTGATACGAGCAATCTTGCTCAATTTTATCTTGCAATATCATTTTCCTGCTAATGATCAATGTGAAACAAATCGCGGTATATTTTTGGTGGTGTTTTTCTCCAGTCAGATTTTGACTTTTTTGCCATTTTTGAAACTTTGTTGTACGTCTCAAAGCTATTGATGCCATGAGGTCAAAGTCATAAGCAGTTAGGCAAACCTTTCAAAATTAAACTGAGGCAGGCAATTTGATTTTTTCAAATTCCCTCATCACTTAACTTTTAAAGTATATATTTTTCACCGAGACATTAGAAGGCAACCGCAAGATTCAGTCCGGTTATATTATACAATGGTGCAACAAACCTGCTGGAGAGGTCGCCAAAAAAGCCTTCTCGAAGACTAATCGATTCAACAATTTTCGATGACAGATAATTAATTTTTTCCAGGGCGGTTGGCGATGAGCTGAAATACTCTTCCAACAGCCCTGATATAATGTTAATTTCATTAACAAGATATTACGTTAATTTCATTATCAAGACGTTAATTTCATTAACAATTTAATGATTGTGAATGATGAATATAAAATTCAAATTCAAATTCAATTCCTCGTCCAATCGCCCATTTTGACCTGAAGTAAGAAACCAATTGCGAGCGCTTGGAATTTTTAATATTGGTTACAAGAGTTGAAGTTGATAATTGATATTAAATTGCGTGGCTAAATTTAAAAACCTATATATATTGAATTTAAAAATGAAAGTTAATTGTGTCAGGGTTGATATTTTCTAAAATTAAAAACTGCATTTTGAAAAATTATAGATTGAAGTTTTGATATGTACAATTGGAGTCTGAAAAAAGTGGTTGAATTTTAAAATTTATAAAATTTAAGCATGAAGACTGAAATTTGAAAAGATGCAACTGAACTTTCAAAAATTTTGGATGGAAGATCCATCAAAGTTGTGCTTTTTGTAGGTATCATTTTGGTAATGCATAGAGCGGGTGCCCTCACAACTCTGCCGTTATTCAGTCGGGCCAAAGAGATGCTGAGAGAAGAGGAAAGTGACAGGCCATACATCGAGATCATGAAGACACTGCAGGTTTCATCTTCAATCTTCGTTTTTTTTGCTAATACGACCAACAATTAACAAATTGATAGTTCGACGAAAAACTCTCACTTGACCTCTCACTTCTGCTAAAATAGTGTTACCTCATGAAAACTCTAGACGCAAAAAAAGGCCTTGAGCCGCAGAAAAGAACTTCACTCAGCAAAATAAATCAGTCTGGAATATGGGGAAAAATTGAAATGGACTTTCATAGAACCTTTGAGAATCGCAGAAATCAAATTCATTATCAGGGGCGGATCTGTGATTTTCTCAATGGGGGCAGACAAAAACTTTGTCATTGTCGATTTTTTTTATTGGTTTCCCGAGCGCTCCCAGAACATTATAAAGACCCCATTTTACAAAAATTGGTCGCAGGCGAATTTTTACACATTTGAGGTCCGGCTAATCATATCTTTCAGATGTTATAAGCAATTTTTCTCGAAAACGCTTGGTTAAAAAGTTCCAAAATGATTTAAAAAACATCCCAAGCATGAATATTCCGCGTTTTCTTCAAAAGGCAGTCGGAACAATCAGGGATCTGCTCTGATACGAGCAGTTTTGATTATTTTTGTTTTGGCCGAGCCATTTTATCATTATGCTTTTCCATTTACTGTTACAATTTTTGACGAAAGTGACGAAATATATGCACTCGGGGGTGGCTTTTTTCCCAGACAATTTTTAACTAGCCATTTTCGGCGGATATTTTTACACCCTCCTAAAGGTTAGAGCTCAAATTATGTTAAAACTTTTGCTTCACCTGTGATGTTTTTCGGGAAGTTATGGGGGTTTGAAAATAGCTAATTTCGTTAGTTTGAGACAAGTACCGCGAGCTTCATTTCATTCCATAGCGGCAATCTATTCCGGCTCAGCAATCGTTCCAAAACGAACTGAGGCAGTCTGTTTGTCCTTAGTTTTGCATTACTATAGCAAAATCAAACTTTATACTTTACTCAGCGAATGGTGGATGATTTTTCAAAAAAAATAAAAAGTTTTTTCATTTATTTGAGAAAATTTTGAAGTTAAAAACTACTCCATAGACTTTTTAGGGCAGTCGGAACTTCCAGAGCTTCACACTGATACGAGCAGTCTTGATCGATTTTTTTTGCCGAGCTATTCTATTAGCATGCGTTTCTTTTTACTAGGCAGCGTTTTTGACTGTTTGTGTGTAGAGTGTGCGTTGTGATGTGGCGTGGGAAATAGAGACGGCGCCTATTCGGATGAGTCAGAGCAAGTGGCTGTTCATGATGAAGAACAGGTTCCCCTCCGGCGGCTTCCTCGATTCCTGTTCCGACAGTGACGTCGGGTATGGGCTCCGAGAACTCATCGAGGTACCTATTTCATCAGGTCGAAAAAATAGTAATCCTTTTCTTAGCTCAAACATTTAGAACTGGTAGAGCTCAACGGAAAATAGAATGACTATATACAGCAAGAGCAAAAAAATTCCATTTAAAAACTTTTCTGGGAGATTTTAGCCAATATTTTTTCTTTTTGCATTGCATTAAAAGATTTGTAAAGAATGTTTTTATTGAAATTTGACTCAGAAAAATTTTTAATTCACTCAATCAGAAATGATTCTCAAACCGGGCAACTTTTTGGAAAATCTTTAGGGCCAACCGGGCAACCTTTTGGAAAAATCTTAGGCTGCCAGAATTGAATGATTTATTTCGAAGGGAGGTTAGCATGCATAAAAAAGTGTAAAATTTTAGGGAATCCTTAAGTATCAAGGACCAGAGGTTGAGTTCTACGACAGACTCTTAGTTGTCTCGGCCACCCACCAACTTCCGAGTGCTAAAGTTCCGATCATCCAGCGAACACGAGACAAAAATCAGCTAGCGGATTTGTTCAACTTGCCATACAAACTGAAAGTGGACGAGGGTGTCGAGAAAATTCTGGCCGAGCAGGAGGTGGAGAAAAAGAAAAACGAGAAACTTGGAATTTTTAATTAGCTCTATTCATACAATATTTGGTAGTCAGCAAGTTAGAATATGCCTGCATAATTTATGAATTACTCTATTTTAAACGTCTTTTTTGAAATTAAAAAAAAAACGTTAGTTTTTATCATCAGCAATTGGTGTGGACTGTAAAGGCCTCTTCATGATTTGATGCTGCTCAATTTTTTTCCCATGAACGTCGCGAGAAAAATATAAGATAGAAAAAAGTTTGTCTGACTTTTTTCCTGACAACAAAGTCTTGCTAATTAGTCTACCGGCTGGAAACACAGTCGTCGCCGAAAATGCAACGCACCAAAATTTTGAAATCAACCACAGCAAAATAATTATATTTTAATTCTTTCTGATTTTGTCTTTTGCTTTGTCACGAAGAAACTTCGAAATACTTGTGTTAAATGAAGCTTTTTCGTAAAAATGTCAGTGTCCTGAGATCAATGTTAGAAGCAACTTCTATAACTATTGTCTTCAAAGAAATCGAAATTTTGTACTGTTCAGGAAGATTTATTTACATCATGTTTTTGGGTTATCTTGAGTAGGTAAGTGGCCCAAAAAGGTGCCATTAACCCATTGAGTTTGCCTGCCTGTAGTTTTACGAGACATGAAGAGAAGCGACTTTTATTGGCTAAAAACCAAATAGCCGGCAAAGTTCATTCACGAGCGAAAAATATCAACATTCAAATATCAAGTTCTTCTTAATCTTTTAAGTGATCTTAAATGTTCTTAAGAATTCTTAATCACCTTTAGTTGATGTTTCAAGCATGATATTTTTTGTTTCGTTCCAGACTAAAGAGGTAGCACAGAAGGATATAAATCCTCCTGGTTGTCTGCTCTGCAGCTTTCTCACAAGCAAAAGACGCTCTTTTGAGAAAATAGTAACTGTCGCCTCGGCTCTCGTACTGAACCAAAAAGGGGAGATCCTTTGTTGACGAACTGGATTACATATACGATTAACAAATTAATTTTCTTGTATCAAAGATTGCCTTCAACTACTTAATAAAACAGTGTCACTTGAGCTTGAGTTGAGCGAAAAAAAAATACTTGAGCGAGTTGCGTGTCACAAAAAATCACTTGAGCGAGTTGAGCGAGGTCATTTCCTAGAAGCTTTTGGTGTTAGCCCAACAGATTTTGTTCGTTGAGCGATTAAAAATTTCTTTTAAGCAAGTAGTGAAATGGAGATCCAATGCAGTGACTTGATAAATAATGGGATTAACTGCTGTCTTCAAAAGTGCTTGTTTTATTATGGTGTGCGATCCCAAGTCCAAACTGTTGCATAAAATTTTCGATAAAAAGGAGCCGAATGAGCCCAATTTTTGGTACGATCGGTCGCCTAGTTATCACGGAATATGGAACCAATGGTGACCAATAAGGATCCCATGCATTAGTAACTGGGGCTCATTAATCCCCTTCCATGGCAAATCAGGGACTAAAATTGGGCTCATAATTAGCCGCTTTTGTACACAAAAGTTTCTCCGAAAGACTCGAACCGACTCATTTTGAACCCAAAACCTATGTGCTACCTCTGCCCTTAAAAAATACTGTTTGTTTGGTCAATTTAAAATAAAATTAAGGTACTGAATGTGCTCAGTTTGCCAAAATTGTTCAGCTCCTTTTGCTAAAGAAAATGGCTCGTCAAGATCTTTCTGATAAAATTGAGCTTATTCAGCCTTTTTGTGAAAAATTGACCATATTCAGCTAACAAACTGAGAAATTGGAGGCCAAAATTGAGTTTCATTTGCTAAAATTTGGGCTGATTCAGGTTTTTGATAAAATTGAGCTCGTTCGGTGAGTATTTCTTAAAATTTTATTCACTCAGCACCCTCCATGGTAAAATGAGACCAAAATGGCAACCAATTTTGACCCGGATAGATACAAAGCGTGTGTTATAAAAGTTTTTTTGTTTTAGAATCCTTACTTGAACGCTTAAGACAATTTTCACCGACCGAGCTAAGATTTAGAAGGAACATATTCGTTCGTGTTGAGCATCGAATACATCAGTATTAATACCAAGAAAAACCTCATCCCTGCCAGCAAACATGTAGAAAAATTCTTGCTAAAAATCGTTATCTTAGCTTTGGTTTTAGCTTTTTTTTCCTAGCTTTTGGTTGTCTTAGGTTTATTTTTACTTTTGATTAAACAAAAACACTGATGTAAAAACAGCAAGTAAAATTTTTATCTATCACATACTTAATTTTTTTCAACGTTTGACCCCATTTTGAGCTCTTTTGGTTGCCATGACCATTTACACAGTCTAAACCATTGCGTTAGATTTTATTGAATTTAGTGATTGAGCAGTTGCGTATACAATTTTGCTTATTGGGTCCATGCGTCCCACTTAAATATCCATAGCATAGCTTGGCACTCCTACAGGTATATATTCTAGGCAAAAAGATATAAGAATAAATCTGACCTATATCTCGGCGCACTGGCGAATATATACGAGCGTTTTGTGAAATCGTACAAAAAACCTCTAGACGATTACTTTTCTTATGGTGAAATCTTTGCCTTCAGAAGGTACCTTCGCATGATACAAAAAATAGATAGAAAACAGCGGTGCTTTCCAAGAATGAACAAAAAAACTTCGTTAACAAAAATCTCCAAGTTAAAAATTTGTTAAGTTCTGGTTCAGTCCAAGCTGTGATCGCTCAGCCTTCAAAACTTGCTATTAAAAAAATGTATTATTCACATGTCTGAAATACAAGTTTTTTGCTTGTTTTGTTCACCCGCATCCAAGTTTAGGCGTAAATAATCGATTATAACGGATTATTATGATGATTTTTTGACAATTATAATCCATTATAATTACCAATAGGTCTTTAAGGGATTTATAATTGATTATAATCGTGATATTTTCCAAGAGACTATAATCTCCTATAATCAATAATAATTTATTATAATTGATTATAGTTCTTACTAAAAACTCTTAAAACCATTTATAATCGATTATAATCGATTATAATCACTTATTTTGCCGAAGTTTTCCTATATTCGAATTATATCTTGTGGGTTATTATTTTTGTGTCAATAAGAAACTCTCTAAAAGAGAGATCTCTTGAACACTTTGGTTCATCTGAACACAAAGTTTTACCACGAAACAAAAGTTTCATAGATATCTCTTCATATGAGTGGAAAGATTCTTGCGGTAAATGAAAAATAAACTTTCCGAATCAGTCATGAAACTAAATCAATTTGCTGATATTTTGGTGTTTAAAAAAGCTTAAAATATGCATCACAAAACAACTCTAATGGGGAAAAATGAAAAAAAAAACTTATAAATTTGAATTAATTGGAAAACTTTTTTCTCATTTTTCATAGGAACCAACGTCCACAAAAAGCATTAAATATGAGCAATTTAGATGCAACTTCGAAGACAAAAATGGACAAACAAAAGGGATTTTCATCAATTATAATCGATCAACATGGATTTTTGTGCAAAACCAATGAAATAGAAATTTGAATAAAAATAATCGATTATAATTGTATCGAAAAATAGACGAATAAATGGATTATAATTAATTATAATTTGATTTTAAAAAGAGAGATTATAATCGATTATTAATTGATTAAAATCAATTGTTTCTCAATTTTAGTGAGACTGGTGCTAAAATCGTAATATAATCGATTATTAACGCTTGAAACTGGATGCGGGTAGTACAACAGCTTGTATTTTCAGCAGTTCTCTACAAACTTCGACCGCATTAGATCGCTCTTTGTCAACTAGCTTAAACTGTGCTGTAATATAATCACTCTTTGCGGTTTTATTTTGCAACGCCATAATTTTTTCCAAAAAGTCTTGAAACCAATGGTGGGGTCGTCTTTAATTCATTTTACTCAAGAAGGTAACCGAATATGTTTGAAACACTTCTTTGCCCCACACCTATACTTATAGCATTCCTGTTAGTTTTTGAAAACCAAAACACTGTCAGTATCTTCCGTCACAATTTGTGCATTCAAAGTCCTAATGCTTAATTTATCACTGATTAGAACAGATTATTTAAAGTTCCATTTTGTGGAAGAAACGAGTTCTGTTTGATTCACAAATTTTTAACATCCGCTTTTCACTTTTTTCATGAAACTTTTAGACATATCTACCAATTCATTATTGGAAGTCTCCATAGTAAGTTTTTGATCTATTTTATCTCTGGTCATCTCAAGAGTCTCGTAAACAAAATATGGTAATTTTACTTTATGGTTGGTCGAAAGATTTTTACTAAAAAAATTTGCTGAGTCGCCAGAGAGTAAGAATTAGTTTTGATTTCACATGCAGATATATTGCATCGTCGAATCAATTAAGGTTTTTGGAAAAATTCGAGGTGTATGAAGCCAGATACAGGCAGTATCTCAATACTACTTGTAATGTTACTGGTCTCAACTATAGTTTCTTGCTTTCAAGCGTTCCAGACACCCTTTCTTTAGTAGCAGTTACCGTTTTTACACAAAATTTTTTCACTTACGCCATGGTTTTGTTATCAAAATTTAGGACAATTAAAATTTCGACTGCCAATTTATTTTAGCACTATTAAATTTAATATCCCACCAAAGAAAAGTTCTTTTATTTTTTCCATAATGAAGTAAATAATTTTCGTTTCACAAATGAATTACCTATACCAATTTTTTTTACCCTTGTCCTCATCGCGATCAGTATGAAATGGAAAATTGCAGAAATATTCAAACGCTGAATATTTGCTTGTTCTTTTAGTTCCTTGTTATTTCACCACTCAATGCAGCCGGAAGATCTTTATTTAGCGAGTTAGTCCCCGATGTAGAGTTTGCTTTTCCTAAAAGAGTGATTTAGATGGTGTTTTCAATTCTTTTCTTTACTGGTTTAGCTGATCAGCCAAAAATCAGAAACCAATTGACCACCGAAGCCTTTGCCATTATCTTTGCTTCACAATTGGGTATTGGTATTGTCTCACGGTACTTTGCAAATTGATATCCCTCAGATGAATATATATTTGAATCGTTCTTATTCTGGTAAGTTTCCCATTGCTATTTTCCAGAAAACCCTGGCTTGGCTTCTTTGTCTACAGCGGATGATGTTTTTTGTTCTGATTAGGTTTTCCCAACTGATACGTTTTTTCATAGCTATTCACCCAGTCATTTA